AAAAATTAATAGTCACAAAAGATTTAGGACTTAATCTCACGTTTAAAGTGGGGATCATCTGCTGGACGCACAGCGAGGTGGCAAAACAAATTGGGCGTTACGAGCCGTATGGAACGTTGTCTAATTTATATTAAAAAAGAGAATGTTTTGGAGGAAGAAACACTCGCTGAGTTTAAATCCGTTTAATAGTATAAAATGTTCCCGCGTTTCTGCCGTTCAAACACTAAGCACTGACTTTGGAAGGACTTTACACTGAGGCCGAGCAATTCTCTCACTTTTATTTAGAGGAATGGAAAAAAAAATCTAAAAAAAAATATATTAGAATAGTGGGGAGAAAAGGCTTAAGTAGTTCGTACGGTTTACATTAGTATAAAATTCAAATTTGTACGATCTTAGCAGCGCTGCTAAGCATAAGCACGTCTTATTAAAGCAATCGCCGTTTCTGTGTTTATTGTCCAAGGAAAATTAAAAGTGTACATCAGATGTGCTTTTCATGAAGTGCAATAAATTTCTTAATAATTATTATTAAAAAGCAATACATTTATATTAAATTTATTTTAAAAGCATATTATTACTTTTATTTTATTATTTATCAAGTAATCTATTAATTATTTTATTTCTTCATTTTTTTAGTATTTGTTTATAATTATTTTCGTATTCTTCAATTTAAAAAAAAAAAACCAAGTTAATGTAAATTATGCATCTTCCAAATTGCATCATACGCAATAATTTCACTGTTTCAAAGACTTCAAAAGTTATCAGACTGAAGCTGGAGTTCAGAGCAAAGCTGTCACCCATCACAAACCATAATCGTCAAAACTGTCTTGCTCCCAATTCCGATTCGCCGCGGCAACCTTGCAGTTTTGCATCACAACTGAATTAATTAATCTTTCGAGCAACTCGTTGAGAGAAGCATAGGTCAATACCCGTTCCCGGTTTAAGAGGAAATCGATGCCGTAAGCTAAGAACACGTGGTTCGGATTGAACTCAGGGGTTTAACAAAGTTGTCACGCATCACTGACATCATAACAGGCATCATTAAATCCTCGAAAATTGTTCGGCCTATACTCAGAAACGACCTAACTTCCACAAATTCTACGCGCACCACTTCATACTTTTGCGAAGGCGGCCATCGATTGGCTTCTTTCTCATGCACACACTGTCCCATTTAAAGGAGCTGAATTTGGTGACTTATCCAATTATGGTCATTCAATTATTAATAATAAATTACCATACTTGCACGTGCGTCTACATACATGTGTATGCATCAATCCTTTCACGCAGACAAAAAAAGTAAATAAAGTACCTAAAATTCCCTTATACATAGGGCAGGTATCATGCCACTTTAGATGACTTGTTTTCTCATCTTTGAATCGTGCTTAAGTGGTCAAATCTTGGGAATTTTCAAAAAGTCGAGATATAAATCAAACACGAAGTTCGTTCATCCGATAATATCGGAAAAATAGTCGTTTGGAAAGAGAGCGAACAAACTTTGGGTGACTTTGAGTCGGAAAATTTCTCAATATAAGTACATCATTCAATGACGACGTAGAACATGCATCAAAATTTGCAACAAAATTAAAGTGCACGGAAAAAAAAGGCCTGCTACCCGAGCGGACTAGTCCGTACCGGTTGCAGGAAAGTTCCTGTGAATATAGCGCTATAGAGGGTTACCGGGGTTGACGACTGTAATAGTACCTGTGAATTTGATGGTCACTATGCCGGAGTGGACAACTGCGAATGTCTCGCTACGCCGACCGTNGAGTACGGGGTTGACAACCAGGAGTCACCTGGGTCTTTATCAGACAGTCGTTCCTCAAGCTCGTACCTCAAATTCACCGAGCAGGTCCGCTCACGTAGCGGACCACTTTTTTTTCCGTGTGGAGGCTATGGCTCCTACATCAAAGACATCGTTCACTTTCTTTCAAAGAATGATCATCTCAATGATCTCTTGTGCAAAGGTACGACTTGGCGATTTAACTGTTTATAGACTTGTAAAGGTTTTAGACACTGAAATTAATACAAAATGCTGTGACAAGCAGAGCTGACCAATCTTACTCCATATAATAGCTTGTTAGTCATGAATCGTATCCAAACTATTGAAAAATACTGGTCTTAAGAAAAAAAAAATGCAGGACACTTGATTTTAGTTGTCCTGATACGAGGAAAGTAGCGTAAAATGTTAAGAAGCCTCTTATTTGAATTATTCCAAATGAAGTCAGTGAGCCAAAAGTCAACACTCGCAATGAAATGTTACTGGGATTGAGTAACTTTATTTTTTTCTTACGGACCCAAAATCGCACACGGTTGCAAATCCTCCCTCAAAAATGTAAGTCATTCATTCCGAGCGTTACTGTTCAACAGCAACTGGCAAATGTGCAAACGTGTCAATTAGCTCCAAGAAATTCAAGAGGACGGTGGCACACTTTCTGAATTCACAATATACTTGTTAAATTGTTTGCTATGGTGGACATATGACTATCTCACAGTCAAATATCCTCTCCATCTCCACTTTTTATTAGGTGAATCCCTGTTTGAAGTTTTTAACATTAATACATATTTCCTTAAGAATTTTTGCATTAAAAATAATGTTTTTTCGATTCAATTTTTTTTGAAGGGGGGGGATAACAAAATTTTACAAACCAAACGATTATCCACATATATGTCCCAAAAATTCTTAATTATCAATTTTAGAGATTTTTTTTTAATTTTTCGGAGCCCCTCCCCTTCCCTCTCTTTAATACATCGGGCGAGACTCTTTTGTAACTGCTAATTTCCTCTACCTCCCCGTTAAACGTGTGCACTGAAAAAAATAAAAGTTAACCATCCGAAAAAGATTATAGTATGTGCTGTTTTCCAAAATTAGATAGCTATGAACCTTATGTCAGGTAAATAGTTCTTTTATCAATCTCGCGATTTCAGAAAACTACTGAGAGACCAACTGTACATGGGAAGTTATAGGAAAGCTATCTCAACGAGAGTATCAAGTTGAGCACTGACACACAATAATAACAATAAATAATGATAATAAATTATTTTAAAAGGCGTGATGATGATGTAAGTCATTCGTCAACTCCAAAGAAGCAGGAGGAAGAATAAGTTATAGATGCAATCAACAAAAGGGCAACGAGCTTAACCTGACGGTACAGTGTGCTCTAAAAGTTTTACTATACTTTCCTCCGAACGGCTCAAAATTTAAAACTAAAATCAAGCGTCACTTAATTGATTAAAGTTTTTGAAAATATTAGGCACCAGGATTAATCCACGAGAAAAAGAAAACAAATGACAATCGTAAAAAAAAAAAAAAAAAAAAATCATTTTCCTGCGAAACAAACTTTTTTGATTTATTTTAAATGTAAGATGTTATACTATCCGTTTATGTGTGATTAATATTAAATATTCTAACGGCTGAAGCAATACAAGTGGGTCTATTTTCATGGGTCTCATTTTGCTGATCAACTTTCGCTCAATTTTTGACTCCCACACTTTTCTTTCTTGCCTTTATTGAGAGACAATGGCTTTAAAATATTTTTATTTGCAAAGAGACATACAAAAGGTGCTGAAATATATTTTTGATTGAGACCAGTTTAACGATTTGAATACAAACTCGAATAATTAGGTTAAACGCAAAAATTAGTTGTTTTTTCTATATCCGCGTTAAAGTCTCCAAGGAGGCAGAATCCAATATCGGCTTTGTCAAGCGCTCTGAATTTTTTTTTAAATTTGAAACATTGTTTACTAGGTAAAAAGAAGGTAAGAAAAGTGAATTACTCTGTATTCTATACCTGCTTCATTTATTTTTGGGAGTAAAATGTTATTATTCGTTTTTATATGTGTGTTTTTTAATGATAAATATTTTGACGACTGAATTAAGTGATCCAATTTAATGCGTCTATTTTCGCCTGTCTCGTTTTGCATTTCTGCTCACTTTTTGACTTCCATAACTTTCTCTCTTGCCTATATCAAGAGATTATGACATTTAAATACATTTTCTGAAAATCTGATTTTCAAGTCACAGAACATTATTTGAGCCGTGAATAACTGAACTGTTTTCTTGTCGAGAATTTTTCAACGTCTCATACCGGCCATTGATGTTCTCATGGTTTCACAATTTTTTTAAGGAAAGGGAAGAGGTAACTACTGATCACACTAACAAAACAGTGGAAACTGAGAATGATTGACAAAAATAAGCGCCATGCACTTAAAATCTTAAGTCCTAGTGTCAGAATTTTCGTTTAAAGCAGAATCTCTGGACCAGACTATACATATTAATTGTGTCCGTATCTGAATTGGGTAAGGGTAAGGATTAGCGAGGTCCGAATGAGTCCAATTCTGACGGTTAAGGCTTCTGCATCGACATATCGGTGTTACCAATTGACAAGCCGCTCTGCTGCACCCCTGTTCGCGGAATTCGTCACGTAACCTTAGAGGCGCGATACAGAGTTCAGTCCATTTTTAAATACTTTTTCCTCCTTACCAGTATGTAGTCATTGCAAGAATTGTTTATTTTCCTGAATTGATATTAAAGTGGTACATGCGTATTCTGCCGTGCTAAGGAAGAACGCCGTATGAGCCTTCAGACGTTGCCAAATGTCCGTCGATAAATATCGAATTTATTGGGAAAATTATGACTATTTTTTTTAACCCTCTCGAGCAGAGAAGTTTGACGTGCTGTAGTTTCTCCTTATCCATAGGCCTTGGAGATGTAATAAAGAAGCAAGACACTTCAAATGAAGGGCTTGCAAGACAAGGCGTATGAGTGCGGTCTTTGCCATTCCGAGAAACACGTGTTTGAAGTTTCGGAATTTCATGGATCCTTATGGCGGAAAGAAAGTTCAAACCGACCTCTTAATGCTTAAAAATTGGAATTTGGAAGCGAATTTTTTACAGAATATGCAGTAAGACTAGTTTTACTTGACATCATGAATAACTCAATTTTTTTCAAAAACAGCACTCATGCGCCTTATCCTTCAAGCCCCTCAAATATATGTTCAACTTACAGAAATCAGCCGTGCAGTTATTCCTTACTGGAGTCGAGCTGTCAAAACTGTTAGAACTTTCGGAACTGGTCGTGAAGCTACTATCGTAACACTGAGAACACACGAGGGGTAAGAGGGTCGTCAGAAACGCGAGACATCTCAAAGGAACGTTATCACGGCCCACAAACATGGTGGATCTTAGGTTATCTTAAATCACTAAAAAAATATTTAAACTAGACAATTTCGACTTCAATCAACCTATCTGCATTTTAGCTCAGTAAGCTGTAGCCGACACTACTCTCTTATGATACAATCTACTGCATGAAATAAAATATCTAAAATGATATTATTGTTGGATCGGATATTCTGAAGAGAGGAGTGTGATTGGGTGATCGTCGACACTGTCGCATATTCCGGTGGTGGTCGACGCACGCGCGGTGTAACAATCTGCCGTGAAGCCGGTGCGGTGTATGACGGGCGAGCGGGTAAACATGAAAAAAATCCCGCCGCACAGAGGGCGGACGCAACGGAAAAAATTTGTGAAATAATTCCGTTTNGGGGGGGGGGGGGGGGGAGAAAGTGAAAGGAGCCGGTTCTCCCTCTCCGCGGCGCCGAAAATTTACTAGAACTGGCCAAGGTTCACGAGATGACTGGTCCGCCTGTCATGCCGGGTGAGGCGCCCGGGGTCTTCGGGTACTGGCCGGGTCGCGCGTGCCGTCCGAGGAGTGTCATTGCGCATTGCACCGCGCGCATGATGCCCGCTTGATTTAGTGTGGATCTTCATCTTCGCCGTGATGCTTTCGAGGAGCAGCCAATACGCTATAGATAGCCGTATATTTGCTTCTTTCTGCAGGCGGTGATCCACTGAAAAAAATATCTCGGTGTATTTAGTAAGAAAAGGGTAAAATTACCAAGAATTCAGTGTTCTATTTGATCCCAGTTTTTTCTTGGTAAAATTACCATTTATGGCATTGGTAATTTTACTGGACCTTGGTAAAAACGCCAATATTTTTTATCGACTGTGGTAGAATTAACGAGATAAAATGGCAAAGTTACCGGGAATTGATTACCAATAAAAGTGGTATTCTTACCTGAAAAAAAAACCAGTAAAAATACCGGTTTTTAGGTAAGCTTACCAGTCTGTCTTGGTAAAATTACCAATAATTGGTAAAAAAAGTGAGATGGTAAAGGTACCAACGGACCTTGATAAAAACGCCGAGAATTTTTTTTCAGTATGGTCACTTTTTTTAGAGCTAGCAAACGAAACAGATTTTAAGTCAGTAAAAAAAAGTGTCAATTTGAACAAGACAGCAAGAGATACTGATTTTTCGCAGAATAATGTAGACCTACTCCCCTGTGCTAATGAAGAGCGCCGTATGAGCCTTCAGACGTTGCCAAATTTTTTTGTTAGAATACAAACAGGGAAGTCTATGCATTTTTCAGAGGATTTTATTGACAATCAAATCTAAATTATCAAGATAATATTTTATAAGTCTCCTTAAAAATAGACATTTTGTTTGTGGAAATGAGGCAACTCTCGTACGTTGATGTGGCGTTTTTCCCTAGCACAATACAGTGTTGCTGAGACTAAGTACCCTAAAATGGCCATTGTTTTCCAATAAAAGCTAACAAACAGCAAAGGTAGACAGAGTAAGTCTGAAAGAAAAAAGGGCACTACTCCCTGGTAAAATAATTCGTCGTCTACGTCTAGAGAATTATCAGACTTCAAAGACACCACACTCCTTGATTTCGCGACTGATTTTCGATTTCCAAAAAGATGAGTACTTATGAAAGGCACACCTTTGCAGAATTTAACATTTTTTTTTCAAGTCTGACAGCTGAGAAAAAGCGTAAAAAATTTTTCCAAAAATGACCAAAACATTTTGAACCAGCTGATTTGAACGGTACCCAACCATTTTAGCATCAATTCCAGTATGGTCATCGATGAGCGCCTATGATCCCTCTTTCTTCCGCTGCTCCTCCTCTTAAGCGCGTGTCCATAAAGCAGATCAGCCACAGGAGCTGACGCAATAGCTCACATCCGACTCCAAACCTGAGCACGCAGCCGGAGCAAAACGCAGGAGAGGCAACTGGACATATTTCTATCGAACGGAAGTATGTGCATTATGACGTGAGCCCTGTCGCGTATATATTCTAATGGATCTCAGGGCTCATGTCTTGATGCACATAGTTCTCTTTGGCAGAAATACGTTCAACTGGCTGGATCAAACCACTGATCCGCGCGCGGGGGGAGGGGGGACAGGGGGACAGGGGGCGGGGTAGGGGGGAGGGGGGTGACTGCGAAATCTTCGCTACTGGGTCGCGGTCGACGTGGTTTGCCGTTCGCGCTCCACCCTGTAGCGAGATCAAGTAACAATTCAGTATTCTGAAGGTGTGATATCGATTATATTATGATGATTTCTAGACAGATTAGTCAACGCTGGTGCGACGGACCGAAACTTAAACTAACACTGCAGCAGATGGCCCGCTCGCATACTTTAAGGTTAGAAAGATGTTGATCAATTTTTCTTTCTCAACTTAAAGGTATCTAAATTGATGGGACCGTGCCGTTGCCACTTCAAACTTCGCTCTTAGTCTATAGAATTTCAAGCGAGTTGAGTTTAAAAAGGTTTTGCGGTGCACGAGGTGAGGTGGCCATACACTGAAAAAAAAATATGGTAAATTTTACCAAACACTGACACAGTGATCCAAGTATGGTAATAAACACCATAATATGGTCGCAATCACCATATTATAGTAAGTATCACTAGAGTTCTGGTGAATACAACTATAATTCTGGTTATTTTCACGAAGTAGTATCACTGTGTAAAAAATGAAGTAGACTAATGGTAGATGCCACCATACTTTCTTTTTAGTGTACCGAGAGTATTTTCACCTTCGTAACTTTTGTGACTGATTTGAGTTGATTTGTAACTGATTTGAGTTGATACGGTAATTGGGCATAGAATTGAGTGCAATGAGGTTTGGAGTTCTCCAAGTCGATGTCAAAAGTTTCGACTTCAAAGTTTTCTACCGCTTTCTAAAAAGTTATTTGAATATTTTAGTAAAAAAATGTACTTAGGAAACGAAAAAAAGCACAGTCAGTTAGGTCAAATCATGGGAAATCATGCTAAAAATATCGATGTCCAAATTGCATAAACACTCATCTCCACTGCGGTGTTTCAAAATTCCCGCTTTTACCTATTTTTTTCGAGAAGAAACGAATCAACTTTATTGCATGAATTTTACACAGAATATTCTGCCAATAGAGAGGAAAATTCGAAAAAGTTTTCAAGAAATTACATTGAATAGTTTACCGAGAAAAAAATATTTCATGACGGTAAGTCTGCATCGTTGCAAACCGAGATACGTGGTTTTGCACTTCGGCAATCGATATGTACCTTCTAAATCACTTAAATACCTTCATGATCTTTAAATTGGAGCACTGAAAAAAAATTCTCGGCGTTTTTACCACAGTCCGTTGGTACTTTTACCATCTCACTTTTTTTTTACCAATTATTGGTAATTTTACCAAGACAGACTGGTAAGCTTACCTAAAAACCGGTATTTTTACTGGTTTTTTTTAGGTAAGAATACCACTTTTATTGGTAATCAATTCCCGGTAACTTTGCCATTTTATCTCGGTAATTCTACCACAGCCGCTAAAAAATGTTGGCGTTTTTACCAAGGTCCAGTAAAATTACCGAGAAAGTTCAATAATTTTACCGAGATTTCTCGGTAAATTTTACCAAGAAAAAACTGGGATCAAATAGAACCCTGAATTCTTGGTAATTTTACCCTTTTCTTAGTAAATACACCGAGATTTTTTTTCAGTGAGGTACCAGCTCGACTTCAAATTTGTTTTCTTTGCATGTTACGCGGTGAGTTGTGATATAAACGATTGCGTCTCCCGAGCACCTCATTCGAAGGAGTTTGATGTGGCATAAATCTCCAAAACCGAGGCTCGGCTTGTTTCAAGCTTGAAGTTGTTTGAATAACGAGCAAGAGGCTTGTAAATACAGTGTACCAGTTACACAATTTTTAGGTGCAACCTGAAAGGTGCTCGTCAATTAGACTATACTTTCGCGCTCCAAAAAGTTGATTGTAATGCGGGCTGTGTTACCTATGATCGCTGGAGTACGTGATAGCCACTATTTTTTGTGAAGGCTCTATTACTGGGTTAAATAATTGGTATAGGAAAACAAAATGCATTTACAATTGCATTCCCCTCTGTTTGAATCCAGGCCAAACTGGTTACAATTTTGGAGTCATTAATCAGCCAGACACTGTTGACAACTTTCTGAGTAATTCTGACATTTTTACTCCGAGGCATAAATCTCTTACTTGGGGGAGAGGAGTCTGTATGAACCATTAAAGAATGTAAGATTATAAGCTTTCAAAATAAAGTTTCTTTATCTTAATACCACGTAGAAATCAATAGGAACGTTGAGAAATTGTTTTTCTTTTTTTCATTTTTAATTCATACGCTTGAGAAAATAGCGAGAAATGTCAATTCAAATCTCTTGCCTCCAAAAAAAAAAAAAATATATATATAACCCTGTTTACTTGAGCCGAATCTAATGTCGAGATAATTTTTATTTTCCTTGGCGATTCTTCCGTGTTCCATGTATCATTTAAGAGGTTAAATTGTCCGATATTAGATACTAATAATTTTTTTATTAAAAAAAAAAATTAGATTGTCTTCACTCTCTGATTATTTGAAATTATGTCTATCTTGTGTTTTTTGCGAATAGCATGTTAGAATTGACCGATTCTAGTGTCAAATTCAAACGCTAATTTTTCTAATATGAGTCGATTTTAAAAATGTTCAATATGCTCAATGTATCCTGCATCCCATTTTAAAAAGAGAACATGTTTTGCATTAGGACATTAGTTTTTACCCCGCTGAGTAGGTCACGATATCTTCGAGGAGTAGTCAGTAAAAAATAAAAAAAAAGATTTCCGTTTGCTTATTTATCCCCGCAATATGAAATCAGAATATTATGGCCAGTGTATTTTTCCTCCAAAATTCTACAAGAAAATAGATGACATATAAACTTGGCCACGTGTTTGCTGAAGGAAGTAATTTAACTTGGAGGTTAAAAGAACGATTTAATGGCCAAAAGAGAGATAAATGGAAGATGAATACCCTCTTCGTTCGTACCCGAGCGTTCAAGTCACCGCGGATTCCGTAATAGCTACAATGCCACTTAGGCATAATAAAATTGAGTTAATGTCGGTTTTTGACCCTAATTACTGGTATTGTTTGTCATCAATGTTTGTTCTCTCGTGTATAATGAACTCAGGTTTTTTCTCTCACTCTCTTTTTTCTGATGGGAAAGTATATGGTCCTGTGCGAGAAGGACTTGCTCTAGACAAATTATACACTCAAACACTTAGTAGAGTAAACTTTTTCTCTGAGATGAAGACTCGCGTCCCAATCCTGGGAAACCAAAGAATGAACGTAAAAATATTCATCTCCGGTAAGCTTTTAACAATGATTTTGTAAATTCAAAATCTAATGCCGCTCGATAAT